TTTTGTCTCCCCCCCCCCCCCCCCCCCTTTAAAAAGTCGGGCACTCGCTCATGGACCAAGAGCCCGACAGTGTCAGTAGAGGGGAGGGGACCCGCCGGGTGAACGCCCCCTCCTCTCTCAGGCATCATCAGATGGTCGTGCATGCACGATGACATCATGCGCACGTGCGATGACAACGCGGTCTCTAGACCGGGTGACACCCAACCTCGGGACGCCCCTGGCAAGAGTCACCCGATTCTCGCTGGCGACTGCGAATGTCACCGGTAAGTCACTGGACGTGACGTAACGAGTTGGAGATCTCGACAAGTTGGACATCTCGATAGAACACCGGCAAGAGTCACCTGATTCTTGCTGGTGGCCACCCATGTCACCGGCAAGTCACCGGACGTGATGTAACGAGTTGGAGATCTCTACGAGTTGGACATTTTTGATAGAGCATCGGCAAGAGTCACCTGATTCTTGCCGGCGGCCACCCACGTCACCGGCAATTCACCAGACGTGACGTCACGAGTTGGAGATCTTGTTTCCCGCACGCGTGCAATGTACCTGTTGATATCAGAGGGCTCCGTGGCCGTATTGCAGCTTCAGCTGAGGACGGAGTTCCTCTTTAATACGCGCCGCCGCCGGCTTCTCTTATTTTCCCCGCCGCGTGCGTCGGAGTTAATTTCATCATTTTTGTTGTTTTTTCTTTTCCCCGGAGCGGGACGCGGAGTCATCGAGATGGAAAATATTATTACGTTCAGTAAACAACAGCTTGATGCTTTTCATTCCTCTGCGCGCCGAAGAGCAATTTTCGACTCCTTTTTCGCGGTGTGGGTGTGAGCCGCCACGGTACGGCGCTGCGCGCGCTCTCAGGTGCTGCTGATGGGAACCGTCTAAAAATAACGGGCTGTCGGCTTCACCCAAATTGCTTTGCTTTTTTTTTTTTTCCCCTCCTCCGCAGTCCACACCGGTGAGCGGGAACAAGAGGAGCCGGCGGCTGTCTTTCTTCTCCCGCGGTCAGGGGTATGATGAGCAATTACCCACCCGGCCAAGCTGGCACGTCGGCGCGCTCCTCTCTACCCCCTCGCCGCGCGTTGCGGTGTGCCAACGCGTTCTGTCGCAGCGGAAAGGTTGGGTTTGAGGAACTTTAATTACCACTTTTTTTTTTTTTTTTTTCCCCTCCTCCGCAGTCCACACCGGTGAGCGGGAACAAGAGGAGCCGGCGGCTGTCTTTCTTCTCCCGCGGTCAGGGGTATGATGAGCAATTACCCACCCGGCCAAGCTGGCACGTCGGCGCGCTCCTCTCTACCCCCTCGCCGCGCGTTGCGGTGTGCCAACGCGTTCTGTCGCAGCGGAAAGGTTGGGTTTGAGGAACTTTAATTACCGATACAACTGTCTGCCGAATGGAAGTGAAAGCAATGCAGCGGATAAAAGACGAGGCTCCTTTAAGGCCGACGTACGCGCCTCGACCCTCTCGCGATTCGCCCGCGTGATGTGAGAAAAATCGATGGATCCAAGATGGCGGTCGCCCGTGTTTCAGCTCCCATTGCACAATTGTAATTCCCGGCGATTCTGACACAAGTTCAAGCGCTTCCTGACTCCTTGTTCAAGCGCTTCCTGTTATCGGACGACAACATTCCGTCCCTGTCTTCCAATTGCGCTCCTGTGTTGTCACCGTGTCACACGTGATGGGGGCTACAAGTGGCTGGTTCAGCACGCAATACACAGACACGATCCACCGTTGTCACCATCAGGAAACCCACCCTGAGAAATGCCGCGCAGCCATCGCTGGAGTGCATGTAGACAGGAAGTGGCTTCAGGAGCCCAGCAGCACCGAGGTGGAAGAAAGGAGACAGCGGATGTCTTATGTGCAGCAAAATGTTCTTTGTAGAAAGGTGACCTGCGGGGAAGCGCTGCGTGCATTGGACCTTCTACTCCCCTCTATCGTCTGATCCGTGCTCTTCCTATAGGAACGCACAACGGAGAGGACGTTCATTCCGCTCTGCGTCCAGGGAGCCCCTTACACACATTATTTGCTGCAAGTCTCCCGGAATCGTCACCTAACGAGAACCCGACTTCTCCCGGCATCGCCCCCGTCCCCTCCCTCCCGGTCATGAGCGGCGCGGGGGAGCACAGAGCGCCACTCTGAAACAATTGCTGCAATTTTTCCTGGTAAACACCCCGCGAGACGCATACCGCCGCCATAAAGTCCCAGCGGACACCGCGCAGAACATGACATTCACCGAGGGGATTCATCGGCGGAGAAACAAACTGCGCGGAGAAAAGAGCAACCTGTGCACAAAGAAAATGTTCAGAATAAAAATGTGATAAAACATGACCTCCGTCCTCCCCTTCAGTCTTCTATCTGACCTCCGTCCTCCCCTTCAGTCTTATATCTGACCTCCGTCCTCCCCTTCAGTCTTCTATCTGACCTCCGTCCTTCCCTTCAGTCTTCTATCTGACGTTCCGTCCAGTGTCGTCACAACGGGGGTGCGGCCCGCACCCAGGAGACACCATTGGAGGGGTGACACCAAAATGACTGACAGTGATTTTGGTGTCACCCCCTCTAAAAAAAAAAAGTCGGGCACTCGGTCATTGACTGAGAGCCCCGACAGTGTCAGGAGAGAGGAGGGGACCCGGCGTCATGCCTCCTCCTCCAGTGGGGTCGCACTGCGTATTCCTATCTTTAAAGGGGAATGTTTTAGCTAACTTGTGCTAGCGGTAGCGCGTGGCGAAATCGGTTTCTCCATATTGATATTTGATATGAAACGCAGATTTCGGTGAACACTTGCCGGGTGTCAGTCCCCTTATATATCAGGTCAGTAATGCTGGAAATGTATTTGCGTCAGCAAAACGCTCCTCCGCGTCCTCTCCAAAACCTGACACTCCGCATTCCTCTCCGATCACAGGCGGCACAGCAATCCGGGTCAGGGGTTAGAGCCCGCAGCCTCGGTGCCGGGTGCAGGTATTGTGTATGAGCACACGTAGACCTGTGCTTTTAAAGGAGAACTCCACCTGCGCCTATTGCAGGTCTG